TTGCCACGGAGAAATGGCAAAGCAGATAAAATTAAAATTGCGATAATGGAAGTAATGTTGAAGTAACAAAAAACATTTAGAATGTGTGACAAACAAAAAAGAATTAGCTGTTAATGCCATAAATAAGAAAAATAGAAATATGGAACGGAACAAATGGAAAAAGTGCTCAAGGGAGAAAAAATTTTCAAAATGCACAAAAGAGCATGCATATGGTGAATGTTCAGCTTATGGTAAACTTTGTTATAAATGCGAAAAAAAGAATCATTTTTCTTATGCATGCAAGGCGAAAGTAAAGCAAGTTAAAGACGTTGCACAAAAAAATGAATATGAAGACTGTTCAGATTGTGAACTATTTGTAAACAGTATAGCTAAAATTGGTGAATTCATAAAAAATGGAAAGTCAGTATGGATGGAAACTATTGATTGAGTCAAAACCTATTGAATTTAAGATCGACACAGGTTCTGAGGTAAATATTATACCTAAACAATTAACACCAAAAATTTTGGTGATATTGAGAATATAATCTCAAATCTAAATGATTATATTCTCAATATCACCAACATTTTTGATGATTTGCTGCTTGCAACAAATACGTTATAAGAACATGATGAAACTTTAAGAAAAGTGATTCAGAGGGCAAGACAAGAGGTGTAAAATTCAATAAAGAAAAGGTTCAATTTAGAAAAAGTAGTGTAAAATACATGCGACATATTTTCAGTGAAGAGGGAATGAGATTAGACAGTGAAAAAGTGAAAGCTATAAATGATTTAATACCACCTAATTCTAAAAAAGAGTTGCAAAAGCTGTTAGGCTTAATCAATTATGTAAGAAAATTTATTCCCAGATTAAGAGAGTTCATTGTGTAAAAAGGCATTGCAAAAAATTAAAGATGAGATTAATAAAAACATTACTTTAATGAACTTTGATGACAATAAACAAATTGTTACCTATTCAAACAGATGCATCTCAAAATGGTATTGGTTATTGCTTGATGCAGAATGGCAAGCCGGTGGCTTATGCATCTAGAGGACTTAATGATGTTGTAAAAAAACATGCAGTAATAGAAAAAAAGTTATTGGCGAAAGGACATTCAAAGTAATCACTGATCATAAACCTATTGTTACTATGAATAAGAAGATTTATAACATAAACTCGTCTCATTTACAACGAATCCGATAAAAGTTGTTAAAATATGACATTAATATTGATTATTTGCCTGGTAAATACTTACACGTTGCAGAATATCTGTCACGAAATTACAGTAATGAGATTAGTGAAGTTGATAAAGATCCAGTACAGTTGAAAAATGTATAAGAATGAGCGAATCGAGAAAAATCGAATTTAGACATGGAACAATGAAGGATGATATTTTAAAGGAAGTGATCAGAAATTATTACCATGGGTGGAATAAAACTTATGATGGTGAAATGCAAGTATATTTTAATATGGTAATAAGTCGTACTTAGTTTTGGTTGATTATCTAACAAAGCGGTTAGAAATTATACCTTTCAATTCAAAACAAAGTTCGGACATAATAAATGCTTTTAAGAATAATAATAATAATAGACTTTTTGCCAAACCACACAGCAATTACAAAAATAAAACAATATAATATAGCAAGATAATATAACCAAAAATAAAAACAACAAATTAATCGAAAGAAAAAAAGATACAAAATAAAACTATCTAAACAAAAGAAAGCTATTATAGCATAGTGCGGCAAGCAATTCACGAGGCGCAGATTCAGGAAAATAAAATCTTGTTCTTCCATCTGGACCTCGATAACAAAAAGAGTTATTAAACATTAATAATTGAAGACGTAAAAAACATAAAAAAAAATTATTAAATTAGATGTAAATAATAAGCTACGGGTTAAGCTACTAGTTAAGCTCGGTGTACAATGACTTACTGATGTACAATAATGTTCGCTGATTGAGTCGCGGGGACGTACTTCAAAGATTTGTTGATTGCTTCGAAGAAATCAGACTATTTCTGCAAAATGAGGGAAAAGTTGAGAATACCCACAGTTATTGGATGTTATGTGGCTTTCAAAATTGATATTTTTTAAAGACATATATGCCAACGATTAAATAAGTTAAACATGAAGCTTCATGGCATAAATAAAACAATCATCATGGTGGATACCGTCATGGTGGATCTCATTCGCGCTTTTGAGACTAAACTGCAAGTTTTCAGGAACGATATTATCGCGAGAAACTACAAGTATTTTCCAAATTTGAAAAAATATATCAACGATTTGGAAATACATGAGAAACCAGACAAAGACCAAGTTACTGAAGAATTTATTTCTGTGATTGATTCTTCAATGAGGGAATTTTCAGCTAGATTTTCTCAGTTCAAAGAATTATCTGAAATACTCAAGCTTATTATGTACCCTGATGTGACGACATTGGATAAACTGAATTTGTTCCAATTGGATTGGTTGGTAATTGAAGAATTTGAAATGTAGCTGATTGATTCAGTCTATCTGTTCAAATCTATTCAATTCCAGTCTAGTTCAATATGGATTCAAAAATTTATTGAAAAAAGGAAAGAGTTAGAATTAATTGAAACAAAAAGATTGACAAGTAATATAAGTGAAAATGCTAATAACAAAATTCTGGAAACATGGAATGCCTTACGACACATTTAATTGTTTGAAGAAGCTGGCTCATGCTATTTTAACAATATTTTCATCAACCTATGCCTGCGAGTCATTATTTTCAGAGATAAATAACATTAAAGACTTGGTTAGAAACCGTTTGACAGATGACTCCAGTTCAGCATGCATTCTGCTAAAAGTAACATCTTACAACCCTAACATATGTTATTTGTTATCTAATCTGCAACAACAGAAGTGATACTAATTTTACTTTAGTTTAAATTACACGTATAATTGAAACATTGCAAAATGTTCCTATTTTTTTGTAGTAAATAAAGAGTTTTGAGTTGATAGTATTTATTACTATTATATTGCCAATAATCACAAAGTAAACATTTTTTATAGCACGTATTATGACCATATTAAACATTTCTTTAGAAAAATAGCACGTTGATATGTAAAGGTTCGCCATCCCTGCTCTATACTATAAAACCCGTAATGAAAAACAAACATATAGATCCCTTCCATACAACAATTTGAATTGCACAATTGGTAAATTCTTAAAAACACACAATATTAACATCAGTTATAAAAATAATAATAGCATTTTCAAGAAGTTAGCCAACTACTAAATAAAAAAAGAACAAGGTAATTCTACTGAGATATACAACATACAATGCCAAAATTGCAACAACATTTAAGTACATAGGGCAAACTGGTAGAAAACTGAATAAACATATAAATGAACACAAAACTAAAAATAATTCAAATGTTTATAAACATGCTACTAAAACCAGCCATAACATTGACTATAAGAATTACAAACTTTTACATAAATGTAATAAGAGCTATAGAATGGACTTATTGGAGCAACTTGAAATTTTTAAATACTCTAAAGACCCTAATCACAATTTAATGAACGACCAAATCAATAATATTGAGAACCCACTCTATTTTTAAGCTCTTATTTTAGACTAAATATATATATTTTTTAATTTTTTGAACTTTATTATTATATTTCTATATATAGCTCATTCATTTGCATTATTAACTTATATTTTTAAAACCAGTTTTGTATCTTTACATTCTTATACCATTTTATTTTATTATATCAACTTTGCTCTGAGCATTTTAACGTGTCCTACACTTGTGCTGTTTATTACAATGTAAGTTTTTATACTCTAATCTTTGTACTTTCATGGCTTTTATAGAAGACAGCTGATGATGAACATAGTTTGAAACTAGTCTTGTCATTTAAATTAAATAAATATTACCGGAAGCAAAGAGTTTTTTCTTAATTATATGGTATTACTTCTTACTGTATTTATTTATCTGTTGTGCATTTTTATTTGATCAATCTAAATCACTAATTTAGTTTCCACAACGTCTGTGAGTGCTTTAATCACTGGATTTTACTGAAAAATTACATCTTATTTTATATACTATGTTAAATTATAAATTATTCCATTTTTTCATAAATCAATAAATTGCAGAAATATGTTTATAACCATGATTCAAGTAATTGAACCTTATGAACAATATACTTAAAAACATGAATTTCAAGACTTCATACACCGTCAAAAACACCATAGAACTAATAAACAATATCAAATCACTTCAATTACAAGAAACCTACATCTTGGTCTCTTTCGACATTGTAAACCTTTACACTAATATTGATACTGATTTTTGAAGGCAATATCCAATCATTACTACTTCTCAGCAAAAAAGACCAATTAATTGGTATTTTATGATATTTCTAATCTTCAATTATCAATTACATTGCTAATCCACAAATCATTATCAACATTCCCTTTTAGAAATTGTTATACTGGTTATACAACCTTTTAGTTCTTTAAAATCGGTTATAATCTTTAATATTCGAAGTTATTTAGCAATTTCTGGCTAATAATTTTAAATATTTTCTATAATTCTCTTTAAATTCAACAAGTAAAATAAAGAAAATGTCATTTATTGACAAGTTAAGGATAACGTAGCTAACTTCATAATTGTTATGAAAGTGGTTGATAAATATAATTTTAAAATAATAAAAATAAATCGATTGAATTACTTGAAACGTTTTAAATCAATTTTTTAATACAATTCTTTTGTATTAATAAACAAAAATATAATTGGATTGTTTTTAATTTAAAGAAAAGTGAGCGCCATCTATTATTAAAATACCTAATGATGATCAATAACTAACTTCATAATTGTTATGAATCTTGATTTTATTTAATAGTTTGTTTTAATTTCTCGAATTCTTAAAGTATCGTTTTATTTTACATGGTAACATCGATTTTGTAAAAATATGTAAACGTCGTAATTTAATAAATATCTCTTCTTTTAATAAGTGAAAGTGAATAGAAGCAATAAACGTCAGAAGTGGATGTCAAAAAATTTTTGACAGTTCACAATCAATCGATTGACAGAAGTTTCTGTTTTGTGCAAAGCCAATTTTGAAGAAGAAAGAAAGTCGAGAATAACGGAAAATTAATTTCAACCAATTTATTGATCGGTACGTTTAAAAATTTTAAATTACGCGCTTGTAATCCCGTCTCGAAACAGAAGGGTTAATGCCATTTAAATTTTCAACGCATGCGTACTCTTCTCGTTTCAGTACTTTGACTGTGAACGGCAACCAAGGCCCGTTCACTCTCTTCCTTCTCGGTCTTCTATCATCGTTCGACCAGAAATCGTCAAAGTCCCAACAGAACGCACGTTATGGACGGCGAAAACTCGGCCAGCGATGAGAATTCCAGCCCGGTAAGTCGAAAAATTTCCTTCCAATATCCATTACTAAACGTTCACGTAGTCAGTTTTATGTAATTGTCTCGTTTTGAACGTGTTTTCTCGTAGCGTGGTCTGCGAAATTTTCTAAGTCCCAATATGGCGTCAGAGACTAAGTCCCAACGCCAACTACACGTTTTTTTAAAAAATCTTTTATTAATATATTGATATACTTTTTATGATATATGTAATCGATTTTTGATGATTTCTTTATAGCGATTTTTAAATTCTTGTTATTTTTAGTGATTTTTTCGAAATAAATTTTTTAATTACTTCTCCAATTTTTTTCTCATATATCTTATTACACACACTCTATATTATCATTATTATCATTTTTATAAATAATTATTAACAATTTTTATTAATGTATTTATCATATTTTTGATTCACTTCAATATTTTGTAATTACACATTGAAATTCTTATTGTTTAAGAAAAATCCATCAACAATGGTACATTCTTTGAAGAAATATTAATTTCTTTGGAATTAAATCATGAACAATTTTTGTTAGATTTTATTTAAGTTTTAGAAATTGGTCTGTGTAGGTATAAAAAGTTATATTTCAATTCTAAAGTGTTTTAAAAATTATTGTATAACATGTACAGGTGTTTGAGCTTTTTGTATAAAACTTTAATATTAAAAAAAGAAAGGTTTCTTTTAACAAAAGTCAGATAACAATTACCTTATTAATGCTAAAATGAATTTCATATCTTTTAGCAAATAACGCTATTAAATTGTTAAAACTGCTTGCTTGTGTAATGAATATTGCACAAGCATTTGGTAAGCTGCGCACAAATATTTTAAATGCAAACATTTGTTTAAAACGTCGATTTATAGGGATTTTAAAAGTAATAATAAATTAACTATACTCTATTTTTTAATTCGCGGAGTGTTTTCAAATTGAAGCGCCAAAAAGAAGGGTTGGTATTAGTTAGTTTCAAGCAAAAATTACACTAGGAAAATTCGAGATGTTGCCGACCATCTTCGGGTTTAGCCGCACGTCTCTCAGTATGGCTAAACTCGAATGATTCTAGTTCTAGGTCTAGTGTTAGTTCTAGTTTTAGTTCAATAACAATATATACAACATAGTACTATCTTATGCTAACTAGCGCTACCTACCAATGCTACTAGAACTAACACACAAGACCTAGTACTAAAATCATTCGGGTTTACCCGTCTTGAGAAACGTGCGGCTAAACCCGAATGTTTCTAGTTCTAGGTCTTGTGTTAGTTCTAGTAATAGTGCTAATGTAAAACTAGAACTAACACTAGCCATAGAACTAGAAAATATGGAGTATAGACGTGCGTTCTAGTGATAGTGCTAGTGTAAAACTAGAACTAACACCAGACCGGGAACTAGAAATATTCGAGTTTAGTCGCACGTCTCTCATGACGGCTAAACTCGAATAATTCTAGTTCTAGGTCTTGTGTTAGTTCTAGTAATAGTGCTAGTGTAAAACTAGAACTAACACTAGACCGATAATTAGAAATATTTAGGTTTAGCCGCACGTCTCTCAAGACGGCTAAACCCGAATGATTCTAGTTCTAGGTCTTGTGTGAGTTCTAGTTTTAGTTCAATAAAAATATACAACTTAGTAATATCTTCTTCTAACTAGCGCTACCTACCACTGCCACTAGAACTAAGACAAGAGAGTTCTAGTTTTAGTTCAATACAAATATACAACATAGCAATATCTTATGCTAACTAGCGCTACTTACCACTGCCACTAGAACTAAAAGAAGACCTAGAAAGAGAATCATTCGAGTTTAGCCGTCTTGGGAGACGTGCGGCTAAACCCGAATGTTTCTAGATCTCGGTCTAGTGTTAGTTCTAGTGATAGTGCTAGTATCAAATTAGAACTAACACTAGTCCGAGAATTAAAAACATTCTAGTTGTAGGTCTAGTGTTAGTTCTAGTTTTAGTTCAATAAAAATATACATCATAGTAATATCTTATAACGGACACTGCTTTCCCCGTATTAATTCGTTATATCGAGGTTTTAGTGTAATATTAAATTATATTATGTTGCATTTTATGTGGGATAAAGTAACGCCCTGGTTTGTATTATGTTTAAATAAATAAGTAATTAAATTCGTAACTACAGTTTACTTAAAATCCTCTCTGGTTTTAAAACTCCTGTCAAAAAATAGCTTTGAAAAATTACACTGTTTAAACGTGACTTTTCATTTTACTCATCTGAATTAAAAAATAGAGTATAGAATACTGGAAATAATTTGTTATTCACATGTTTCTTTATTTATAACGTCTGCCTTTAAACTTCTAAAGACTATGTCTTGTTTTTTTTCTGCTTCATCAAGTCTCTTGTGATGCTGAAGACTCCACCATTCGTACCACCTTTTCGACGGTCATCCGACAGGTCTGCACTCGATCTCTTTATCCTGTCCACGTGGTCTCTCCACCAACTGTGCCTCGCACTATATTAAGCACCCTCAGTTCATTCCGTATTGCTGAACTTCTTACCGATATCTCAGGGTTACTCCTTAACATTGTCATTGCGGTGGCTCTTAGCATGTTCTTAGTTTTTGACGGATCCGCCCTAATTTCGATGACTCATTGCCGTTTTGTAGATACTGACTTTGCTCTCCTTGGCCGTGTGTTTAAATGTTATTTAAACTTCTTTATTACCCCCTAAATGGTATTATAGTATTGAGATGTTGCTGGGATCATCTTCTTCTGAAATTGTTTCATTGCCTCCTATACCAATTTATTTGATTATTGTGCCGTCGTTGATTGAGATTTGGAACTTGGTGTCACCATTAACTACAAGGTATTTTTGTAGTTATTTTCAAACTACCCTGCACTCCCCATTTTTTATATTCTGCAAGTTGTATGCCTCGTGCCAGGACTGTCATCATCATCCTCTGGCGGTACATCTCTTGGAAAATTTGACCTTCTGAACAATCTGCTACCTCAATTAAGTGATGTCAATCTCCAATTTTGAACGCGCAGCTTCTTTATGTTGTTAGTCACACTATCTATCCGTCCCATTCTGTCATCTCCTATTTCTTGGTATATCTGGTTTGCTCACAAATGTTTTCTGTCCTTTCCTGGTTTCACTCATTTTTAAGAGTGTCCCATCCATCTTATTAATTGAACACTGGAAAACCTAACAATGTATTCTCCTTCAATAAGGTTGTTTAATTCTTCTTTAGTACGACTTAAGTAACAAACGTTCATTCAAACAAGCTCTAAATTGGCACGATTACTCTTCAGAAAATGTCAAATAGATTGTCATTTTTTGTATTAGTGTCTTATACAGGATGGTCAAAAATTGAATTACTGCTTCTTCATATTCAATGGCGAGAAAATAGAAAACTTTAAATGGAACGCCTCATTTTTTTTTTAACCTATCAAATTTCCCAATATGAGAGAAACTACAATAAATACGTATAGGAATGTTTTTAGATATAATTTGTCGAGAATTAAATGCCCTTTCGGATAGCCTAATAAAATTTTTGACTTTCTCCCCATTGAATATGGAGAAACGGTAATTCAAATATGGTAAAGAAACAGTAATTCGAATATGGAAAACGAATAACGCTAGGTACTAATAACTTTTATGAAAGCCATCATATTTTTTTACAATTAAAAAGTAAGGTGTAATAAAAACTATAGCATTCCATTTAAAATAGCGATGTTATGGTCTACTTCCGGTAGACCAAAAGAGGCGGTCATCTTGAAAGTATTTTAGATCGAAAGATCTGTATGAACAACCCATGATATCAAAATTTCAATACTGTAGTGGAACCTAAAAAAGTTTTAACGAACCAGTTACATGAGATCCTGTATAGTAATAGTTTTAATTTTCTAAACGGTAGTTTTGATTAAGTAGTAAGGAGTAACATGCATTTCCAGCTCTTATTCTGTCTTGTATGCTATTATCATTCCTGCATAAAATGCCCAGATATCTAATCCTTTTCACAACTTCAAAGTTGTACTCAGCAACAGTTAAGTTTTACGAAGTTCTTCTATTTCCATCTCTGGACATTCTCGTGCATTTGGTTTTTTCCTCATTGATTTTTAGACCAATTATTTTCATTTTGAGTTCGAGCCTTGCAAATGCTTCTACCGTGGTTTGTATAGAGCATGATATAGGCCATTATTACTATATCACCATCATCTACGTATCCAATCACTCGATATGCCTTATTGAATATGCTGCCTCTGTTTTTTAGAACGCAGAAACGTTGATAGTACATCATGTCTAAAATCATTATTGATCGTAAATGGTTCCGACTTTCTACCTTGTACTATTTCTTTTGCTTTAGGTTCGTACATTTGTTATCATTACCATGCTGCTTAATTTCTTTGGAAACCTTACTTTATCAGTATTGATTGTATACTCGTAATGCTGCACGCCTTGTTCACCCCCTAACATATGCTCAACCTGCTACTCTTCATATCACACAGTAGAGGTGTTGTGGTATACGTGGAGAACTACATTATAAAACTCCTTTTATACAATCACCCAGTCTTCTTCAGTAGAGCGTCTTCGTAATAGCCCGTCACGGATTAACTGTTCTGGTATGTAGATTTCGACTTGAGAATTAAGGTCTGTTAGAGTTTTGTTATAATTCCGCGACGGTAAGAGTGAGTTTACGAGACATATTTCGTATTGAATTTGTACTGATTTGGCAGAATTCGCTAGAATTTAATCTTACAATTTTTCATACCCTCTAGCCATAATAAATGCTGGATGCCATTGCTTTGTATACATCCTTAGATGTTGCTCGACCAGTAAAAGCAAACGAATGTTTTCCGGTAAAGTTATCAAGGCGTTCGATGGTTCGTATGTGTAAATAATTTTAGGACACTCTCACTGCGCCTTGATGCATTCTCTCCAAAAACTCTCGAACAGGTATGGCTTCTCATTGAAATTTCGCAAAAGGTGGAATGTAAAGATTTTTATACAGGTCTTAAAACATTTACTACTAACAGCACCAATACGCGTTAATTTTAATAATTTTTTAATAAACTATGCGTATTCTATTAAGTATTTTTGACAGATTTGGCCCCGATGGTAAAATAGAGTTCTTTAGCTATAATAGAAATTAACAGATGGCGCTACTAACTACATAAAAGTATTGTAAATGAATTGCTGTTATTAAGCGGCATAATACTAAATGAAATAAGTCGTGTCTAAATATATAGAAAAAGATATTCTCTCTTATATTTAGGCGTAACATATACGTAAAATAATTATATACTCGACACTGCATCAAATGAAATATTATTTTGTAACTCGCGCAAGTTGTGTGATCAGCTGATTGAGGAATCAGAGTTAATCCACACTCCTCTCTTTAGAAAAGTTAAAGTTGAATAAATTAAAAGTAATATACAATAAATAAATTACTACATCGAGCATCAATTACAGGGGTTGTTGGCAACGGATATAAACATCAAGTGTTTGTAATTCACAATTATATTTACCTGCAAAAAACCTTACCGTGATCTTTACACTCATCTCAATCATTTAATTACTATTAATCGCTTTTAACGTTTGAGATATACGTTTTTAAATCCAATCGAGATTTCTGATAAGTTAAATTTTCTTGAAATAATTTTAAAATATTTATGTACAATCCAAATGTTTTTAATGGCACGATAAAAAGCATTGAGTATTGTTACACTGTTGTATAAAAAATGTTATCAAAATGTAATTAAAACATTTTTTCGATAGGTTTACAAGTCAAAAGAAAATTCAGATAAACATCACGGCGTGAACGGCATTAGCAACGGATACTCCGATAATAACAAACACAAAAGTCACAAATCTTCCTCTGATCATAAAGATAAACACCGCGACAGAGAACGCGACAAAGATCATCATCGGGATAAAAGTAAAAGTAAAGATCATAAAAGTTCGAGTCGCGACAAAGATCGACATAGTAGTTCAAAAGACAAAGATAAACATAGCTCGTCATCGCATAAATCGTCATCGAGCAAAGATAAAGAAAAACATCGGGATAAAGACAGACATAAGGACAAATCGAAAGATAAAGATAGGGAGCATAAAGAAAAAGAACATAAATCGAAAGATAAAGATCGCGAAAAGGATAAAGATAGGAGAGATAAAGAAAAAGATAGACATAAAAGTAGTTCATCTTCATCGAAAGATAAAGAGAAACATAGAGACAAAGATAAACACAGAGACAAAGATGGGAAAGATAGACACCATTCCTCTTCTAGATCGAGAGATAAAGACAAGGATAGAAAAGAAAAAGAAAATAGAGATAGAAAAACATCGGATCAAAAATACGAATCAAAACGAGTTAAAACTTTATCGGATTCGTCGAAAGAAGATTCCGTAGACGAAGACGATCAAAAGTTAGTGATCAAAGAGGAAGTTGATTCGCAGAATAGCGACGATCATAAATTGGTGATCAAAGAAGAAAATAGTGACGATCAAAACATTTCGCAAGCAAGCAGTTGCGATTATAACTTATCTCAATTTAAAGAGGAATCGAAATTTGACGGTTACGATGATGACGATGACGATTACAAAGATAATTCGCAACTAAAAACGACGTTTAAAGATGAAGATGAGGCCGACGACGGCGAAGAAAATGAAAATGAAGAAGCAGCACCAGAAGAAGAAAGTGAAGAAGATGACATTCCCATTGCAAAACGGATACCGTCGAAGAGAAAGATGGAAGATAGTGAGGACGAAGAAGATGATATTCCGCTAGGGAAACGAAAAAAAGCGAAAAAAGAAAAGAAAAGTAGTAGCAAAAAGAGAAGACATCGTCAAAACGATTATGATGAAGACGAGGAGGACGAAGATGAGGAGGAGGATGAAAAACCAGTCAAAAGGGAGAAGAAGAGTAGTAAGACGAAAACTAAAGTGAAGGAGATAAAAATCGAAGATGGTGCTGCACCTAAAAAACGGAAGAAGAAGGAGGAAGAAGAACAGGAAGTTTGGAAATGGTAAGTAAAAATGTCTAATTTGTTAATTAGATAATATAATTTAAAACCAAATGTCAATATAAATTAGGCAAAAATTATTTTTTTGAAATTTTCTTTTAATATGCGAATTCGAATTTATGATTTCATAAAACTTTTGCTATTAAATAAGAGATGGCGCTAGTGTACACTTCTTATTACACATGACTTCTGACATAACCGTTTTTAAGGTTATGTTCACGGTAAATAGAAATGCGTGTAGATAAATTATTATTAGTTTGTTCTCGAAATTTGCATGAAATATTGAAAAATCATCGGGTAACGAATCATCTGCGATTGTGTTTGGGGAATCAAGTTCTTTCTCAACGTTATAATACAGTAACAAAGTTTCGTTATGTCCCGACAATTTTGCATGTTGGTTTGGATAGAAAGCAATCAAAGCCGAAAAATAAAGTGAAAATTAAAGAAAAACAAATAAAATCGAAGCAGTTAACGAAATTAAGGTAATAAATGCGGTTTTTGTTTGTCTTTGAATGTTTTGATTAACTCAGTTTTTAAGCACTGCTAGAATGCAATTTATGGAATCTTTGTAAGTTGGAAAATTATGGTTTCAATATAATTATAACTGTGATATCGTTTCAGTACTTAGTGTTAAAAAGAAAGAAATAGTTTGGATAAATTGTTGGCCTAACTTTTAGTTTATCCTAAAATATTTTGTTATCTAAATAATGTTATTTTAATGACATGGCTATCTTTATCATAGAAAGTTTTAAGGAAAAATCAGTCTAATAACCTGACATCCCTTGCCAGTTTTGACACAATCTATTGTTGTTTTTATGTTCATTCTCCAAATATGGAGAAGGCTGATTTGAGTTTATTTAATCTTGATGAATATAGCTCTCAATATTTAACCCTAGAATGGTAACGTTCAATTCTACTCTATTATCTTTAATAGCAGATGGCGTCGTATATGACGCCACGTTACCGTTCTTCTAGGGTTAAAATTTATGCTTTTATAGCAGAGGTACCATATTTAGTGATTTGATTTCACATTGTAGTTGAAAATACATCAATTCAGAAACATTCATAACACTACCTATGAAGTAAATCATGATATTTAAATAAAAATGAAATTAATAAGAAAGCTGAATATGTCTTTGGTGATATTTCCACAAGGATTCTTCAAGAAATTAATTTTACAGCGAATTTTGAAAATTATCGATGAAAATTGCAACATCGAAAATTTTATCAAAACTTTAAATATTGTTTTCTCAAAAACTAAAAGTTATTTTTCGAAACGGGTTGGTTCATTAGAAAAAGGACACTCTTATTAACACGTTGGGAAGTTTTCATACTCATATTCCAAGAAATGGATTTTATACGAATTTTTAAAACTTAATCGAGGAAAATTGCAAAATTCGAAAAAATTCTCGGTCGTTTCAAAAATTTATTTCTCAAAAGGCGAAAGTGATTTTTCAAAACGGTTTTTTGCATTAAAAAGAGGATGAATGTGATGATGAATTATAAGCGAAGAGAAGAAAACTAAACGAAACTGCAACAAGAGATTTTATATATCGTATTGGCATTGTTACAATGAGGTTGCTAATGATAAATAAAGTTGTATTCAATGAAAAGAGTCCTATTGGGGTTGAACTTGATTCTTATCTGCAGTGTCCAACACCTAAAAGAGATATTAATTTCTGTGAATGGTGGAGTACTAAGTAATAGGTTTTTAATATTCGGGCAAAGCTGGATATCTGTTCCATCATTAATTTTCATTTATTTATTGAAAGTACAGTGGTAAAGACGTTGTTGGAACAAAATATCTTAAATGGATTTAGACTGTGATTTGAGCTGCCTACAATTTAGATGCTAAGAAAAAATTTATATTTGTATAAATAAAATCTGATACTATTCTATATTCAATTCATTATATGAGATAGTATGCCATATATCACTTATAGAAACTTAGGTACAAAATAAAACTAAGAAGGTACTGTAGAATATATTAAGTGATATGACGAAATTTGCATGATACATCACAAAGGTTTTAGAGATAAGATAAAAGTCGATGCAATTGTAGAGATGTTTTTGAGTTTAGAAAAGATATTTGTACGTTGACGAGTTTTAATTTGGTTTTAAGTAATCAAAGTTACTAGTGTAAAGTAGGGAATATAGGCGATAGAATTGTTATAAACAGTTTATGGAGAAATCCTTGAAACAGGTGTATAGATTTAAAATATTTTCCACCATTTTTGATCGAGTTATGACATCATCGATATTTTTTTCAAATAACAATCCCCCATTTTTATTAAGGAATACGATAGAGGTTTTTTTGTAATTGGCTGCATAAGAAAATTTTCGAAAAAAATTACTTGAACTATCGCTGATTTGGAATTTTACTCCAAACTACTTACATTGAAAAACGATATCAATTGAAGCAGCACCTTTTTTGCCTGTTATAATTTTTAATGACGGATTTACACTAATTTTGAAGATTATGGATGTGATGGTAGTAAAAGTTGGCCAACAAGCAATGTTACAAACGCACAGTCACAACGAGCAGAAAGCGCTCGCCCGATTTTGCAAGAAACACACAGCGCAACAATGGGATGAACTTGCAGAATATGTTCGTTCTGGAAAAACCCCCGTTTATGGTCCCAGAATAGTATACTAACTCTAAATAGCGTATTTCAAAGTTTATCTCGAAACAACGTTTTGGTATTTGGTAACCTCGTTTCCTCAAAATTTACCGGTTCAATTATTGTGCTCAAACATTGTGCACGTCTTAATCGCATACATAGTTTTTGTCTGAACTAAAATTAAGTAAATCAAATTATGCAAAAAAGAACATAAATAATAGATTGTTAGTTTTAGATAAACAGAACAATGGCGGCAATCATGGTAACCATGAAAAATTACGTATTTTAGTATTGTTGTAAAAGACGTAAACATTTCTTATAAGTGCTCAATATGTATAGTATATTAATACACTGATATGAACATCTTAAACAGTTTTCCATAAAAAGTTAATGGAAGTACCTACAAAATTGGAATTCTAGACTAGACGACAATCCCTTCCTTAATGCGGATCTCATTGCGACTGTATGTTTGCTTTTAGCCAATTTTTCTCCTGTCACACCATATTCTTCAAAATGAGTGAATGATGAAAATATCCACGTTGCAAGGTTATTTAATATTAAGATAGAATTCAAACAAAAACAATCTTTGTATAAATTCCTTCCTTGCTTTTTTTATTTATTTAAATATTTTCAATACCAGATTCGACTTATTTAAAAATAATCACCCGATTAATCAAACTAATCAAAATTGGAATTAAACAGTACACTATTTAAAATTAATGTTAAAATTTAAAATAACATAAGACTGAGAACTCTTTAAATGTCTTGTCTCGTGTTATGCGTTACTTTTCTCTTATTTTAAATTTTAACCATATTTTTTAAGAACGGTGTTATGTCAATTTTAAATAGTAGCTCAGTTTGATCATTCGGCTGATGATGCCTTTAAAAAAAAACGGTAACAGAGGATATAAATATACTAAAAGAAGACGAGGAAGAAGTTCATACAAAGTTTATCTTAATAATATAAATTCGTTATTAAAGATTATGATAGCCAAAAAAGTTACAGCTTTAATTATTATCAATTATAATATATAATGCTGTGCGAAATAATAGGTTAATATATGTAAGCAAATTCTGTTATAAATTAATTCCTTTTTGACAATCTCACTTATAGAATGTCCAAATTTTATGTCTTCTTTGCTTACTTTGATTCCGTAATGTACACATTTTTCTTTTGTGAAAATTTGGGTTGTGCAAAAAATAAATGTGTTATATTCTTTCAAGTTACAATTCATTTAATGATCTAATGGGAAGAGCGAAACAAAAATGGATCTTAATTTTTCTAAAACCTATAAATTCAAAGGTGGATTTTGTATATATGCCCGGCCCACACTGGGCTGAATCCCGATTCTAAATGGACAAAATTATTTTATGTGCTTAACAAGGGCTAAAATTCTAGAATAGGTTAAAAAAATATACGTAGGAAAATGTAGGTGTTTTAGTTCTCAGAACAAGATTTTGACTGAATTTTGAGGTTTTCACATATTTTTTAACGAAAAATTGGTATAAAATAGATGCGAATTTATTTTCTAGTATTAAGAACAATTATTTTTACAAAAATTTCAAATCAGAATCATCTTCCGATTTGCTCAGAGAATTTTTCTCCGTTCTGCTCATCAACCATAGCCTCCTTCCACTGAATCCGTGATCAGCTCCCTTGCCTCAGGACTCAGCTCCTTCACTGGAACTTTCTGGAACGTTCTAAGGCCTGTAATAACAGAATCCGATGATATTAAAAGCATGTGAACTAAGTCTTTCTAGTGTGCTAGGCTCTGAATCGCCTCATATCCTTGTATGTACAGCACTTAGGCCCCAGCGGGCCCTTTGTATGTCCCCACAATTTACATTTCATTCAGGGGTCAGAAAACCAGCCCAAGGATTTAATGATCGTTAATAATAAAACAGAAGGGTATGTTCTGTATATCCGAAATTTGGGGCCATGGTACGCCAAAAGTGGATTTCCTTAAGTACGCGAGGTTGGGACAGTTATAAACAATATGACTTACCATCTCGTCTTCCATTTCACACTCTCTACAGAGGAATGTATTCGCCAGGTTCATGTAGAATATGTGCTTACGTAACCTGCAGTGTCCGGTGAGGAAGTGGGTGATGAATCTCAAGTCATTTTTTGATTTTCCTAGGAACTGTGTAGATCTCTTCCGGCAAGGGTAGAACAGAGTTTTCTTTGAAAAGACACCTACTGCCTCATGTCCTTATCCCTTGCCTCCTGTGCTTCCTCTGAAAGCTGCTGCCCTATTTGAATAAGGGCATGTTTGATGGCTAAAGATCCATGTAAAGGGATTTTATGTACGCTGGGAGGCATCCTGTACCAGCTATCAATGACCTCAAAACCTCCCGGGATATCAAGTTAGTTTTCTATTATCAGTATATATTTTTATGTCCAAAGGTGGAATCTATCTTCTCTAAATCGTCAGATATGTATACAAAAGCGTTATGCTTGTAGCTGTTTGTGCCTAGCTACGCCAATGAGCATTCTCTGCTAGCAAAGTCATTATATGTATATGCTTCATATATAAATCGACAACCAAGCGCATGTCTATTATCACTTCCACTACTATTGTATGCTGACGTTTAATAATAATAATCTTTATTCGATGCAAATACATAAGAAATTACAACATGTCATAATGTCACCTAATTAGAATGTGGGATTGACATACAAAATAAAAACAAGAAAAAAGAAAAGAAAACAGAATAATTCATTCTATACATCTTTCGAGAAATTCATTTATCCTGTATATTGGGTTTTGCGCTAGGTAATTCTTAACGAACGAGTTCATTCTTCTAGAAGGCAATTGTCTACCTGACTGTGATAAGTGATTGTAGAATTTTGTGCCGTAATATTCGGAATTATTTTGAGTCTTTACTAGACGGTGGCGTGGAACTCGCAATTCGTCCCCCCGTCTTGTCGGATAATTGTGGATATCTGAGTTCTTCGTGAGGTTGATCCATTTCTTTTTAGCTGCTTTAATGCAGCTCAATATGTACACAGACGGTATGGTGAGAATTTTGTGTATTGCAAAATGTTCTCTACAACTATCTCTACTCTTTAAATTGAGAAGTGCACGAATTGCCCTCTTTTGTAATAAAAAAATTTGCTCTTCTGCTGAAGATATGCCCCAGAACAGAATGCCATACGTTGTGGGTACTGGCATAATATGTGAGTTTAGCCGCTTCTATGGTACTGGTCGCTCTCATTCCCTGTACACAGTAAATTGCGCCATTTAGCTTCTTGGCAGTATTATCCTATAAAGGATCTTGCTTTTGATCATCTTATTTGACATCTAATCTGTACTAATCATTTTCATGAAGTGTGTTAGCGCTGTTTGTGACCGGCTTGGTACAGGGTTTTGACGTTCCAGGTACAAATATTCTTATCTTAGTCCGTTTGCCGTGGTCATTTCTGAGAAATTCGTCCTGCTGAAGGCATATCTGTTAATTTTGTAACTGGTGTTTTATTTTTCGCATGTAAGTAGGTACTTGGCCTCCAGTTTAACCCTTTTTCCTCTTTCTATAATTTGAACATAAATTAATTGTGACACAAATTAGTATTAACTAAGAGATTACTTTGAAAACTTACATTGATAAACCGAAGTGTTTTCATTATTAGAGGAGGGGTGAAGGTCAAAATAAAGGTGCTGTTTTTGATTAGGTCCGCCATCAGAGACATCTCAAGGTCACGTCAGGGTCAATGCATACAAGTTATTTGCATAATTCTATCAAAATGGCTGATTTAAAATTTTTATGGCGATTAATATTACAAACAGCAGTAGAATAAGTGCAGGTATCTGTAACTCATCATCAAGTTGAACTATCTACCTAGTTTCTACGTAATCTAGTTTATTTCACTATAATTTGAACTCAAGAATATATTTTTATATTTAATTTTGCTTATAGGTGGGAAGAAGATAAACGACAAGACGGTGTAAAATGGTCATTTCTTGAACACAAAGGTCCCGTGTTTGCACCACCATACGAAAGGCTACCAAAAGATGTAAAATTCTTTTACGACGGCGACGAAATGAAACTTTCCGAAGAAACGGAAGAAGTTGCTGGTTTCTATGCAAAAATGCTTGACCACGATTACACGACAAAAGACATCTTCAACAACAATTTCTTTAAAGACTGGCGCAAAGTTATGACTGATAAAGAACGCTCGAAAATAACAAATCTTAGTAAATGCAATTTTAAACAGATGCATGCTTATTTCATGGATATCGCTGAAAAGAATCGAAATCGAACGAAAGAAGAGAAACAAGCACTCAAAGAAAAAAATGAAGCGATTTTAAAAGAATACGGTTTTTGTACCATTGATGGTCATCGCGAGAAAATCGGGAATTTTAAAATTGAACCCCCCGGATTGTTTCGTGGTCGTGGGGAACATCCAAAAATGGGAATGTTAAAAAGGAGAGTTCAGCCGGAAGATGTCTTAATTAATTGTAGTAAAGATTCGAAAATTCCTGTTGCGCCAGAAGGTCATAAATGGAAGGAGGTTCGCCATGATTCTGGCGTTACTTGGTTAGCTTCCTGGACCGAAAACGTACAAAATCAAGTTAAATATGTTATGTTAAATCCCAGTTCGAAATTAAAAGGCGAAAAAGATTGGCAAAAATATGAAACGGCGCGTCGTTTACATAAATGTATCGATAAAATCCGAAAGGAATACCAATTAGACTGGAAATCAAAAGAGATGCGCATCCGACAAAGAGCTGTGGCACTTTACTTCATTGATAAATTAGCATTAAGAGCTGGAAATGAAAAAGATGAAGATCAAGCGGATACCGTCGGTTGTTGTTCGCTCCGCGTTGAACATATTCAATTATTAGAACATAAAGATGATAAAGATTATGTTGTCGTTTTTGATTTTCTCGGTAAAGATTCAATTCGTTATTACAACGAAGTTCCAGTTGAAAAAAGAGTTTTTAAAAATTTACAACTGTTTATGGAAAATAAATCAACAGGCGATGACCTTTTCGATCGTTTAAACACCACCGTTATGAACAAACATCTTAACGAATTAATGGAAGGTTTAACAGCGAAAGTTTTTCGTACTTATAACGCTTCCATAACATTACAACAACAATTAGACAAATTAACTAATCCTGACGATTCGGTTACAGAAAAAATTTTAGCTTACAACCGCGCGAATAGAGCGGTTGCTATTTTATGTAACCATCAACGTTCGGTGCCGAAAAGTCATCAAAAATCAATGGAAAAATTAAAAGAGAAAATCACCGCGAAAAAAGATGCAATTTCCGATGCAGAACGACAGGTTAAGGATGCACAAAGAGAAGCGAAACGAGGGAGTGTTAAAGAAAAAGTTGTTTTGGATAAGAAAAAGAAAGCTTTGCAACGTTTAAAAGAACAATTATTAAAGTTGGAGGTTCAAGAAACTGATCGTGATGAGAATAAAACAATCGCTTTGGGAACGTCTAAATTGAATTATTTAGATCCGAGAATTTCCGTTGCTTGGTGTAAAAAATATGATGTCCCAATTGATAAGATTTATAACAAAACTCAAAGAGATAAGTTTCGTTGGGCTATTGATATGGCTGGACCGGATTATATCTTTTAAAAAGAAAGGTAAAAATATTAATGAATTATTTAAAAAAATAGGAGTAATTGGTTTGGTCCTGAAAAAAAAAGTTTAATTTTAAGCGACATGATTTTTTTTAGAGACTATTTGACTTTAATCTTTAAAAATAATAATAAAATAGATAATTTTTTTAATTTTAAAGAATTGTTTCCTTTTCGATGAGAAGAAAACGTAATAATTTATTAATTTAAAAGTGGAACACAAGTGCAAGATAAAATTTTCATTACTATTAAAAAAAATATCGTCTCTTTATGTATAGAATTAGTCACAAAAAATTAAAAAAAAAACATAAGAAAATAGATTGTAGTTAATGATTTTTATTGTTGCTGTATCATGATTAGTTTGATATGAGTATGTTTTTGAATATTAATGTGTTAAAATTATGTTTACTTTTTTTTTCTTTCTCTAAAATTGTGGCGTAAATGGTTTTATGCAGGAATAAAATGTGTGTCTTTAGGAGTTTAGCTAAATGAATGAAAAGAGAAGAAAACTTTGTATTATTTTACTTTATAATTTCGATCATGATGAGTGTTCGTTATCGTTTAATTAATAGTGATTTGATGCGATATAAAGAAAGTAGGTTGTCTGTATATTACAGATAATATCTTTTAATTTAAATAAAATTATGATAATAGAATTGGTTTTGTTTTATTTTATTAAAGTTCATAAGACTACATGATTCCTTTACATTAAAACAAGAAAGAAATGTACAATAAAAATTAAAATCATTAAACATTTTTCTTGTTACAGGCATAAAAGTAGCATGTGGTAAAAGATTTTTCTGCTTCATTTGTTTATGCCTGTAAATAACATGTGAAAATAAACAAATGTATACAATAAAGTGCAATTTTAATAAGAATTACTTAATAGAATCTTTGCTGTACTTCGCAACGGTTAATTTTTTTCTGAAAAATAATATCGCTACAAAACCGGATAATGAAAAATCGATTCGAACGTTCCCTACGCTCATTCGAAGCTTAAAACTTCAAACAAATCCGGGGAAACCCAGATGGATCTATTTTTTGAAAGTTGTGTTGCATAAATACTGTAATGTATCGCATTAGCATCGTTGAAGCGTTTAAAACGTAGTAATTTTTTCTAGTAGTTAAAGTAGGAAAAAAATAATATAAAAAACATGAAGAATCGAAATTTTTATTATTTTAATATTTTGATAAATAATACAGTGTCCGCCAAAAAGCCAGCATGATGTTTATCCCGATTTTTCGATCTAATTGTAAGATATTTTCAAGATTATTTTCAACCTAACCCCAGCAGTGTTGCCACAACGATCAAATATGTACTGAATTTATTAAAAATTTACTGAATTTCGGAAGTGTACTCAAACATTTTCCCAAATGCTGGCAAAATAGATTAGTTATCAAATATAACACCACAGTCCCCAGATTTAAAAATGGGAGGATTAATGAAGTATTAAATGAAATAGTTTAAGGAAGGGATAGAGAGTGTGAACATTCCTTGATTAAGACTGATGGAATACCATCTCTAATTGATGGATTGGAAGTACGCGTGGACGAGTTGGAAACGTATTCTCGCCAAAACTGCTTACTTATACATGGCATAGGTGAGAAGGAAAACGAGGATACTGATGCTGTAGTGGCGAATTTCTTTGAGCAATATCTTAAGGTACCCGGTTTCACTTTCTATTTAAATCTTCTTGACAGATCACATAGAATTGGTCCAAAGAAGAAAAAGATTGGATCCTCTGCAACACCTAGACCCATCATAATCAAGCTGATTTCTTATATGGATCGCAAAATCATATGGGCTAACAAGAAACTGTTGAAAGGTACGAAGTTTTTAATAACTGAGTCACTGACCAAGAGAAGAATGAAGTTGTATGCTGCCGCGAGGAGTACTGTGGGTTGGGTTGGGTTGCCCAACCCACAGCACTCCTCGCTACTGTTGGGTCGCAAGGAATGTCTGGACTGCTGATGGGCGTATATTTGTGAGATCTCCAAATAATGAGATTAAGAGAATTAACGAATTCAATGATCTACTTAAGAACTCTGTGGAATCAGCTGAGATGGAACAAAATCGTTACGAGAGAAGAACTCGTCGGCAAGTTAACAAACTATAAATTATCATTGTTATTAGTAACGTACTAGTATCGATGTTGTAAATGTACCCAATATATCTGACCATGAACTAGTAAAGTGTGAGCTTTCAAAAAATCTTTAAAAACTAGGCGGTTTACATAGCCTCCCAGTCCCTGGCTAACAGATAATACTAAACTACTAATGTCTATTCGAGATGAGGCGCTTAAAAAATTCTAAAAGTCTAAGCTAACTCAAGACTGGGTTTCATACAAGTTGCATCGCAATCTGGTAACATCAACGGTGCGGGCTGAAAAGAAGGCATACTATGATTACGCCTTACGTAGTAAAGATCCAAAAGCTCTTTGGAGAAAAATTAAACTTTTAAATATAAATAAAAAAATCGATAACAAAGTGCCTAACATTTTTCTTCCAAACGATTTAAATCATCAGAGTTGCCTAACCTACGGCCCGCGGGGCCTGTAGCTCATGTACTAGTAGAATATAGATTTTGGCCCGCGCAATATACCTGGAACCAATGTGGCCCGCGTACAAAAAAAAGTTGGGCACCACTGATTTAAATAATTATTTTGTTCACGGTGATTCTTCACTTTATATTCAGACTGATCCCGACTTACCCATATTTGATCAAAATAATGTAAACCTTAGAGTGCAGATAACGAGCTTTTATGCCCGTTGATGAACATGAAGTATCTATAATAATTAATAACATTAAAACTGCAGCGGTGGGTTCTGATGGTATTTCAGTCTGGATGATAGACTTGTGTACCCCTTTTCTCATTCCTTATATTACTCACGTAATAAAAGCTGCTATTTATCAATCAGTTTTTCCGGATGCCTGGAAGATGGTTAGAGTAATTGCGTTACGTAAAGTATCTTCCCCTTCTGCCCTAAGAGATTTTAGACCGATTAGTATCCTATCAGTAATGTCAAAAATTTTAGAAAGAGTCTTGGAAAGGCAACTTAGAGCACACTGCGAAAGTTATAATATACTGCCAAATCAACAATCTGGGTTTCGTTCCGGTTTACGCTGCGCAACAGCTTTATTGAACCTTACTGATGAGTTATTTGCTTCTAGAGAGGCCGGGCAAGCCGCACTTTTGTTATTGTTGGACTTCACCAAAGCGAATAATTTATTGATACAATAAATCATAATATACTTGCATCTAAACTTGATTATTTTGGTCTTGGAAATCAGGCTGTAATTTTGATAAAGTCATTTTTGTTGGATAGGTCTCAGGTTGTGGAGATTAATAATCATAATCGAGCGTTCTGTCTGTTACTCGTGGAGTCCCTCAGGGGTCCACTATTGTTCTCTATTTATACATCTGATTTTAACCAAGTTCTTGAGCATTCGCAGATTCACTTGTATTCAGATGATACACAGCTTCTGCTGAATTTTCAGCAGAAGCTGTGTATCTGAATTTTAGAAGAATTTTTGATCAGCAGTTGATGTTTGAGGAGCATGTGGCCTCTTGTATGCCCATAGGTATGTCTTAAATAAAAAATAAAAAATTATGCTGTGTAATAGCTTGGTTCTAAGCAAATTAAATCACTGCGACGTTGTTTGTGGTCCAAATTTAACAAGGGCGAGAGGGCGTGTATCCAGAACCTCCAGAACGGTTGTTTAACGTTTATTTACGAAATTTGTAGATACTATATAGACTATATTAGTCATAAGTTGGCAGAGACTGGGTGGTTGAACATGAAGAACAGACGTAAACTTCATGCAACTTGCCTTTATTATAATAGTATATTAAAAAACAAGTTTCGTA